TATATATATATATATTTATATATGTTGCTAAATATATCTCGAGTTAGCTGCTCTAAACTTTCTACACTTATGCTATCATCATTAGTCTACACCACAACCACCGTAGACTTAGCGAACTTGTACTTTTCAATTCATTACTCGCTGCTCCTGTAAGCTTATGATCGAAGAAAGAACATTCCGCACAGAGAGATACGTTTGTGGAAAGGGATGCTTTTCCAACAATGGCCAAAAAAAAAACAAAACGGCTTACAAGGGCTTTAAAGTATGGGCACACTCGAGTCGCATAATGTAATGTCGCGTGATATATCACGTGGGTATCTTAGTAATTCTGACACGTTCTCTTTACGCGATGAAAACTCATGCAATCGATAACATTCGGTAACGTTTAAGCGATTTCTTTGCTTACGTGCCGCGACTCTCTCTCTCTCTCTCTCTTAATTTCGTACAACAAATGGCACGGATACATGACAGCTCGTCTCCCTTAAGCTCGTTGATCGTTCGGATGGTGAAACTGCGCGACTCGCGGATGTGTGAAAAAATATATATGAAATGTATCTCATGATATAAACGTAACAAGTATATCCCGTCAACGTTGGCAAGTGACAAATTGGAATTTCATATATTTATATTACTATTTCATACTAACAGTAATTACTATGAATTGTGAAACAACATTGTAAACGCGTTTACATTCTCGATAAAACCAGAGAGGGAGAGGGGAAGGAAGAACGCTGATTGCTGCGCGACGCTTTTGTAAGTAACCGCTACCCTGACTTCTGTCCTTTGTCACTCTCAAGACACTGTGCAGGAATTGCGACCGACGCAACTTGTGCGGGAATCGGTGATGCTGCCGGGTGAGCTGCCGGGCGTCGACAGTCCGCCGTTATTGTGACCCACCCCGACGAAGCGTAACTTCCGATGATGTGATCCCAGACTCTTGCTCGAGCTCAACGAGCGATTGCCGTTATAACGCAGTTGGGATGTAGTCGTCATCGCGTATGATTTCAAGTGCGATTTGATGGATTTGGGCAACGGCAGTTGGTCGATACCGTAAACCGTTGTTCGGGCCACTATCGCACGGCACGCCAGTTCTTGTAGGCTGAGCACTGAAAAGCAAATTAATTCTCATTGTTCTGATCCCTAGATCTTAGGCCTTAGGATCTTAGTATTCATATTTAATACTGGTTTTTACATTAAAACCTGTCTTAAATAGTCTTAAGATGTCATAAGCAAATCATAAATCCGCATTACCAACCTAAGACGGTCTTAAAAAAGATTGAATACTGAGCTTAGAATCTCTGATAGAAATCACTAATCAACACCTTTATTGGATCGCCATAATCTTTCCATGCCATTCCTGTGTAACGCCATCCGAGAGAGCTCTGAGAAGCTTTCACGGATGTTGAAATCGCAGAGAGGTGAGACTTCAAAGAAGGCCATTCGATTCTTAGCCGCGTAAGCCTCTGCATCTCGTTCACCTACTTGCCTTTTAAAAGCCAAGTGTAGACGATTGCCAACCAATACTTTTGGTACGCCAGGAGCGTGCTGTAAGTTTCATGTAAAGATATATTTTTGCATGCTGTCAATAACCAGATCAAATTTTCACTCGTCAAATAAAATCTGACCTCTTCAACTTCTTTCAGCCACCTATCGATGCCATCAAAGGACCACTTGTTGGTAATGTCATATACCAAAAGTATACCTTGAGCACCTCTGGAATATGACCGAATAATTGTGCAGAATCTACCTTGGCCTGATGTATCCCATAATTGTAACTTGACTCGTTTCCCATCTAGTAGGATAGTGGTAGTCTTGTAAGCTGAAAAAGTAATAAATGATCAGGTCTATAATCTCCATTTCTATTATTATAAATTAACTTTACTCTTGATCTTATTTACTTTTTATCTTTCTCTTGAAGAATTTGAAAAGGATGAACCAAAGGATTAAAATTAATCTATACTAGTAGAAATGAACACGTCTTAAATGACTTTGAAAAAAAAAAAAAAAAAAAAAAAAAGAGAAAGAACTATAGAAAAGCATTACTGTTGTTTGATTATAAGTTCTAATGTATCACAGTTAATTTTTTCTTTTTATTTCCAACATGAAAAAGAAAAGGGGAAAGATGAACCGTGCAAGAAGTTACGCTAAAAAGAACAGTTAGCCAATGTTTCGTTACACGTATTGAGAAGAGACACAGAAAAGTCTTATGATATTGAGAGAGTAAAGAGTGTTACCGCTGCCGCTGCAGAACGGCGACTCGGCTGCACCGTCTTCGAGACCGCTCAAGATCTCTTGCTTGCCGACGTCGCTGTCTCCCACCAGCAGGAACTTGAGCAGGTAGTCGTACTGTTTCTCCTGACGAGGCTTCGCCGTGTTGGCCTCACCCGCAGCCATAATATCCGCCTGTCGCAGACCCTGAGCATACTGCAGGCGACCAACGGGACGACCAAGCTCGCCCTGCCGCTGTCACACTTCCTCCCGTATTCGCGGCACGCGGACGGATCCTCCTTCACCAGTTTCACCACCTGCACCGCCGTCGCCACCTCGACGGCGACCTCGTCGGGCACTTGGCCGGTGAAAGCTATCGCATCGTACCGCGGTACACAGGTACGTCGCGTCGATTCTCTCATGGATCTCGATCGCGACGATCAGCGACGGTCGCGGCAGCACCCTCTTATTTACGCGACCGGGACACGAACCCCGACAACGCGAACGTCACGAACCTGTATCATAACAAAGCAAACAGGGCTGACAAGGCTTTCTCCACTCGTCGACGCGCTTTCCCCGCTGTTGTCGCACTTGTCTGTCCCCCTCAGTTCCCTACCTGCACCGCACCAGTCCCTACCAGTCCCTCCAAGTCCCTTGCCTCTCCCCGCGTGACACTGCGCAACGAAGTTGCGCGCTGTCGCGAGATGCACGAGAATGAAATTCCGCGAAGGTCGAGTACGTTCGTGATTCGCGAGTGTCATTTGAAGTGCTGTCCTCTGAAGGAATATAAACAAATTACTTTAAGAAGAGTGTGAAAATTGACACGAAAAATTAAAAATACGCGCAGAAATGCAAACAACGAAAAAAGTATTTGTAAACATAAAAGTGCCTTATCATTTCATAAAACAAATGTTTTATCAAGCGATCAATTTGAATGATTTCAGCGCCATCTACATTAATTAATTCCTTATATTTGCGAGTCTCGCCGTCATCGGACCACGTTTCTGTATTTTCGATTCGTCCGGATTGACTTGCGATCGTCAAATGAAACTGATGTTTCCACGCATCGTGTTTTTCGTTAATAATCATGCCCATTGAAATTGACCAATCGCATTTGTCGACAGAATTACTTAACGTTTATTTAATGATAGATTAGTTGGGGCAAAAATAATGGTTGAAATAACCAATAAGACAACGCAACGGAAAAGCAGCCAACGGGAAGGCGCGATTGTCGGCATTCGCTCAGATAAAAGGATTTGCGCTACTCTGGTAAACAATAGAGTTCCATAATCGCTTGCTCATCCTTCTTTCTCCTCGATGTGATCAATGATGATGCAACTGGACAACGTTGATTCAAGGAAGTTGAGATTTTCCGAATCTCGGGATAAATTTTGCTATAAATTTCCGAAAAATAGGAAAGCTAAGTCACTTCCACGCGACGTAATCGAAGGAACGTCTTGGCGCAGAAAAACGGACGAATTCAACCGAGCACTTTAGTTATTTTTCCAAACAAGAACGTTCATTAGATTTTCATCTAATATTACATCATATAAATAATACAATTATATATTCATTTCTACTTTTCATCTATCATTAACGATTCATTGTGGAAATCACCGATCGCCACGACTCGTTTACGTCCTCGGGAATATTCTCGATAGTCGATTCTCCTTCGGGAAGAATCCTTGAAAGGTGTGCGCGTGGAGGGAAGAGGGGATCGCGATGTTGGATTGGGATTGGAAGTAATCGAGAGGAGGAGGGGAGGAGGGGGGGGAGGGATCGCGAATCGCCGGCGTTCGATTTTCGATTTTCGAACCGGTCGCCGATTCGCGGCTGCCGCGTCACGTGGCGGCACCCGTCCACGTTTCGGATTGTGGGTAAACAAGAGGAAGAAAATATTTGTGCCGCGCGTGTATCGTCATCGTGTTCACCGGGAACGCACACGCACGCGCGCGCGCGCGTGTCCCGCTCGCCCGCTTGCCTGTCACCACCATTGTCATCGTTGTCGCCGCAATTCTTGCTTCTCTCGCCGAAACTAACGAATCGAGGATCAACGAGGACCGTGACACACGAGGAGGCGAGGTGAACCCGAACGACCGCGGAGACAGGAGCGAACTTAGAAGGTGCTTGACTTGATACTGCTTGTACTCGCGATGAGCGCGCGCGCGCGCGCATGGTGAAGGAAAGGAAGAGGGAGAAGAAAGAAAAGAGAAAGAGTGA